ATCAGAGGTATTGATTGCAAGGGTAAGGAAAGTCAAATAGGGGCCATAGAGCGCAACTAAAGGGTGACTACTTCTAAGTAAAACCTAAGGGAAGGAAATACAGTCGAAGGGAAGTAATGTTGAAGTAGTCACCATAGGCTTCTTATACTAGTAAACTATACCATCTCGGACTCGGAAGGGATAGGATATACATGTAATAAGACTGTAGCACTTTTTACAAACTCGAGGCAAGGCAAATTACATACCAATGAGGTAGGATGGACAATGGATGGATTCCGATGTTTCGGGTGGATCTTAGAGTGCAAGAAACGCGCTGGATAAGCGCTAAGCGGGAACAAGTGCTAGATAGTGCGGACATGTGCTAATGGACCTAAAACACATTGTTGGTAGTTCTGACAGCGCTATAAGCGCAGGAATAGCGTCGGATAAGTCGCAAGAGTATGAATAGCGCTGTGGGAAATGTGCGCGCAATAGTGCGGGAAAGTGCGGAATAGCGTCGGACAAGGGTTATGGCTGAGAGAAATGAAGACTGCTGATAGGGGAGTAGTGAATGATATGAGGGATAACTTTTGGTCCACCTATTGAAGGCTTATGCAGTATACATGCCTAGCGCCAATATGATTGTCACAGCGGTATCACAACTCTGCTCAAGATCCCTCTTCATAGCCATATTCACTGGGGAACTGCTGATGGCATGCTCGGGTGTGCATACCTTTGCGACAGGTAAGTAAAAACGCGATTGGTGATACTACATTACTAATCCATTTGCATAGCCTATAAATATGTTTATCAATACTGCAGACAAGCTCTTTGGCCCCATCACTACTATCCGACGTCCTGCGCTTGGAAAAGAAACACATTCCCTGGACAGCCTTTTCCTTCACAAGTGCTGATTGGGAGCGCGTTGAAGATGCACGTGTCATCATTTCAGTATGTTCCTTGTTTCATAATATGTCCCTATGCCTTGCTCTAATTTATGTCCATAGGAGGCTAATGAAATCCAGCAATACTTTTCTTCTGAAAGTCAACCAACTCTATGGCGTGCAATACCCGCATTTGAGGAACTACTGACGGCATGGGAGCGAAAGCGGGATATGCCAAAGTATGTACCCTACAAGGCCACAATCGAGAAAGCACTCGATAAGGTCTGTAAGTACTACAGAAAGATGGACGACAAACCTGTCTATGTGCTTGTGCTGGGTGCGTTCTTCTATTTTTAATTTGTGTTGATGTTACTGATAGATTTACAGTTCTTCATCCATACTATAAACTCGAATACATCAAGATTGCCTGGGGAGGAGCGGAAGAACAAGAACAGGAGCGTGCAGCTGGAAATCCCAATGCCAAGGATTGGCATGACGAGGCCCTGAAGATCATGGAGAGGACTATGGAAGACTATTGGAAGACTCGTGACTCCCCCGCCACCACACTGAATCTATCAGCTTCCACCACGCCAGGCACCGCCACCCGCCGCCGTAGTACCAGGAGACACCGCTACTATGGAATCTGAGTTCGACCCTCATCGCTGTCTGCTTCTTATAAAGGCAACGTGTGACCATGACGCTGGCTGGGCTGAGGAACTGTGGAGATACCTCAAGGTCATCCCTGATGTCTCAAAGGATATGGATATCATTCACTGGTGGTCAGTAAGTGCATGGCATTTGTACTATTATCTATTTGACTGATTCTTTTGTCAGAAACATGCTTTGATATATCCGACACTTGCAAGGATTGCCATGGACGTCTGTGCGATTCCTGCATCATTGGTTCCATGTGAATGGCTTTTTCAGGGGGGTGCAGAGACAGCCACCAACAAACGCTCTCGTCTAGGTGCAGAACGTTTTGAACAGCTGCAAATGCTCAAGTTTTCGTGGCGTAAGTCTCTCATCAATTCGGCCAAGCAAACTCAGGTGTTGTTGAGGAGGTCTTGCTAAACGAGTATAAAGACCTCCTTCTCGTGGATGAGGACATGGCTGATTGGGAGAATGAAGCCAGCGAAGTCCATAGTACTACATAGTAAGTCTCTAGTGCATCATGTCTACATAGTATTGTGTAGTCGAAATTTCATGTTTTGAGGTAACCGGTCCCAGGTTAGACCGGTTGTAGTCGAGTTTTCACCAGTCTGATGCCGCAGGTCAAATGAGGCAACCGGCAACTGGTAGAGGTGATATCAAGGGGCAACCGAGACCGAAGTCAGTCTAGAAAAGTTGTGGTCCAGTTGAGTGTGCAGTCTTTTTCCAGTTGCACAACTGGACTTTTAAACTCTACATAGAACAAAATAGAAATACATGGAAAAAATGGAAGTGAAGTTTGAAAGTGAAAATCCTAGCTAATAACTAAGGGGAAAATGATGGGGTAACTTGGTGATAGGATACAGTAGGGTCTATTATACCTTCCTTATCACACCCTCTTGTGTATCTGTCATGGTATGAGTTGCATACCATGCATGACACCAGGCAATATGGCAGTCACTACTACTACTAATAGTACAAGTTATTAGACATCTGTAAAGGGCCGACATCAATAAAAGCTTGTTGCAGATGAAGGATGAGGAGACCAGGACATACCAGTAATACTGAGGATGGCCTGCCTCACAATGGTTGAGCCTGGAGAGCTTTGATTCGAAGAAATATGTCACTGTCCACAGTGTGGATGACAAAGTAATTGCCAGGTGTTTCAGGATCGCTGGTGAGAGCAGCTCCCCAAATGATTGACTGGACAGAAATGATCTCAGAGGATAATCAAGGTTTGGCCCGCACACGCCACAGTCCAAGCTCATTGTCTCGCCTTCAACGACTACTAGGAATACTAACATCATAAGGATGGATAAGTGCAAGAGGGAAATTAGTGCCACTAATCGAGCAGCTGAACATGTACACGAAGCAAGTGAAAAACGGCTTGTCTGCAGTATTCACCAAGACACAGTCGTACCTCGGTGATCCGTAGAACTTCGGGTTGCACTGAAGTAGATCTCAGTGCAGGCACCAGTCGACTATTGATTCATAATGAATCCGCAAAAACCAAAACTCTGTTACCTGAGAAAAATGTATCAGTATTATCAATTGGGTTGAAGCAAATTAGCATACCGTGTCGTCCACACGCAGGTGAATGCGCCTTCCATCTGGTAATGGAATGCCATTTTGTGGTAGAAAAATGTTCAGGAAGCCGTTAAGCTTCATCCGAAAGTCAGTGAAGGCCTCATCAGTTCCATGCGAGTGCATGATATCGGAAAAGGAGTGATTGCCTTGCCTTGAACCTAAATGTGCATGGACAGTAGTAGATTCAGGGTTTCCAGCATCATCCAGGGCTTCATTGGTCTCCGGGTCACGAGAGTCTCTTTGATTGTACTTGTCGAGTTCGTCGAGTTCAGTGCACATGGACGTCGAGGTCAGAAGCCACTCATCATACTAGTAGTGCAGGATCTGCAACAATAAAGCTATTATTAGGCCGAATCTGCACAACAATATAATTATAAATGACTCACCTGAGAAGCAATGTTCTTGAAATTCGTGTGTTGAAGGTAGATTTTTTGAAAAGAGCCGTGCATCTTTTCATTGGGCTTGGTACTGTAGTTGTGGGTCACGCCTTTAGCTGAAATATTGTCGAATACATGCGAGATTAAATACTTCTTTGGAAAGTTCCAATTTTTCAATGTTTCAGGCTGCGATTCAGCGATATATTCCTAGCAAAATGTTAGACAATCATCATCTGAACAAATAGCGACTTGCATCCATAATTTCTGAGAACTTTTGCAGTACCAAACTTCCAGCTGCAATCATATCTTCCGTGTGGACTTCGAACGAGGCATAGATGTCAAACTCAATGTAATAGTGAAGGCAGCGAAGAAGTAAGTATCCCAGTTTACAGTGGGATGAAGAAAGAATATCCTGTGCCGCAAAGATAATCATCTAAGTTTTTTTAGTACCTAAAATCGTTTATGATGTATAGACAAACCTTTGACAGATCCCCAAGAACAGTACCATCAGTGAAATTCACCGCAATAACGGAGGAAAAATGCGTCAAATCAGGCCATTGTGGAAGTGCGTCGAAACTAAAACGGCTAGTCAGCACTAGCATTAATGTCTCATAGTCACAATACATACTTTTGGTCGAGTTTGACGGTGGCTTCCTGATCCAAAACTTCACTTCCTTCCACAGATGGTCGCCCCATAATCCTTCCTTGTTTGTATGGAGGCGGTTGAAAGGAAGAGCGTGATGAACGTCCATGTGAATAATTCTCGAGAAGACGTTCTTAAATCAGTGAGTTTGTCAGTATTAATAGACATTACAGCAGAAAGGGCATACCTGAACATTTCGGAGCGAGAAAGCCTTCAAGCGATCCTCCTTTTCCTTCTCATAAGACATTGATCTCGCAGTATGGAGTATGGCTTCAGATTGGCGGCTTGTGCGTAGCTCGTGGGTACGAAGATCAGACTGCTGATCTTGTGGAACAAGACAAACTGGACACAGGAATTTCCCCGTAAGTCCACGTATCAATGTCATGACACATCTACGATTTTTATGAGCCTTGCAGTAGAGTGGTACTAGAACTAATATTGTGACTTACTGTTCTTCATAATCGGCACTCAAGATCAAAACCAAGGGCCAGAGACGATGTTGGATTCCATCCCCACATTCGAACCAATAGCCCGTGTTTGAGTGCTTTGCAACCGAGGCAAGAAGCTGGTAAAACAATGTATGCCAGACGGCATTTTTGAAGTCCACGTACTTCTTCTTCTTCATGTGTTCCTGATTCTCAGCAATCTAAATCAATACAACTAGTAATACTACTAACTGAATCGGCCTGATGCACCAACAATGGGCAACCAGCCAACAACACGACCGCCTCCTATGGCAGTATTACTGTTATGAATATGAACTGGCAGGTTGGCAATGCAGGCGATAATCGGATAGCCTTTTTGGCTCCCAAATGATGATAGTTTATTTTTGTCTGCATACAGAATGAATGCCAGCAGTTTGGCATCCGGGGGAAGGTGTGACTAAGTTACAAACATTCAGCAGGATATGATTAATTTAAGAGGATAGATAATGAATGAAGTGTCAAAACATACTTGTGCATTCCAAAATGCATTGGCAGTCCACGGTTCGTCAATAAAACGTACAAATCTTTCTCCATCTAATTTTGAGAGACGTTGAGCATCAAACACAAAGTGAGGTGCGAGACATCCATCTCACAACAAGTCAAGCGCCCAATCCCAGAGAGGGCGGTAGTGCATGTCGAATTCATGCGCCTCTTTTTCAAAGGGAACAGATACTTTATCATGCTGAAACTAAACACTAATGATAAGCTTATTATACTGTTAGTAGTAGTACATGAGACAACACTTACTCTAGTATAATGTTGTGAAGAAAGATCCCAGAGGGAACAAACTTCGTCATGATTTTGCAACGTGAATGTATCTTTGCTGCTAGCAGATTGATGCACGAGATCGAGAAGGTGATTAGTCTGATCCTTCATCATCGCATTCGAGAGCGATCTCTGCTATTTCGAAATTGAGCCGTGTGCGGAAGGGTTCCCATGGTGAGTTGTTACGGGGCACATAATCTTCTGTCAGGCAGCTGCGGGAGAACTTGGAGAAGTGATGTACAGTGGAAGGGAGTTGGCTGTGGGGATGATATCCGACTTGGATGTCATCAAGCTTGTGAGTGAGCTCATTGGGACCAGGATTAGGCTCGTTGGGACCGGGATTAGGCTTGTTGGGACCAGGATTAGGCTTGTTGGGACCAGGATCAGGCTCATAGAAGTCAGGTAATGTTGCGTCATGGTCCATTGGTGGGTACCGTTGAGGCGATGACCCTTGATTATCTGGCACTGTGTTTAAATTAGTCTAGGGATGATATCAATCAAATTGATTTGAACTTACCCATGTCTGATTCTGTTGCCCAGATCGCGGTGGCGCTCGCTATATTACAATAAGAAACATTAAAAGTGCAGTAACATAATCAAAACATAACTGCTCACCTGTAGCAGACGACTGTGCGTCCTCAAAACATAGTAGATTATTGCGAACCTTACGACGCTGCCTTCTAAGTTCTGTAAAACGATGATCAACTATAAAATATCAAGCGCATCAGATAACTGAATCAAGCACTGACCTTTCTTTTTGGCTTTCCGAACTATATCAGTGAATTCCTCATCTTCCAGCTGTTCCTGCTCTTTCTTTGCGCAAGATTTTGAATGGGATCCTAACCCCCACACGCAGACAACTGCCCCACATTGATCGCACGTCACAAGGTCTGATACCTGTTGTTTTGACTTGGGCATTGGTGTGTTGTAATACCGATGGGATACGAGTAGAAGATGAACAATGAGCAAGTTGATGGTGGTAGTCTATTATTAAAGGCATATCAGTCATATCAGTAATAAGATCAGTCGCATCAAAATGACATTGGAACTTCGCCTAAGGCATCGTAATGAGCTCGAAATCAGGTCAAAATAATTTGGAGGTCCATCATAACACGTGACCATTATGATGCCGGTAAAACATCTCCGACATCCTCTGTAAGGTCCTTCGCTGCTCTCGTCCGCTCCAGTCATTCAAGTAACCATCATTATATTTTTCTATTGCCACTTCCACGCTCATTTTTACCCATCTCGATGATATACGCTTCCATGGCATATTTCACTAGGACTGTATAGAAATGTCCCCTTAGAAATAAAATTTACTTATGTCTCCTTATTTTTTCTTGTCTTCGTTGTTGTCCTTAGTTTAGCTCACAAGCCAGGCCCTCACCTTGGGCGTGGCTTTGGCCTGGCCTACAAGGGCTCAGCCCAAAGGGCCTGAGCCTTGAGGCCCGAGGGCCTTACTGGCCGGGCCCGATGCATCACTAGCCCAGAGGCAGCCCTTCGGCGATCTCCATAACTTAGTCAGCCACTGGCATACGCAGCCAGCTCTGTTCATAGTGTGCATCGCAACATACATCCACATAGAGTCTACTTTCTTCTGCTTCTGCCCTAGTCCACGTTGATCCCTCATGTTTCCATTATTTAATCTCTCGGATTCCAGACGAAGACTCAAATGGAAGTCACTCACTGGCACAAGGTATGTACTCGTTATTGACTCTCATAACACAACTCGAGCATTCCACAGACCCACACCCTCACCATGGACGAGACCGCCTACACTATAATCCCCTCGACAGGACTGGTGTCGGTATGTTCTCATTGATTTCTCATGTTTTTCATCGTCTCATCTCGCGGATTTTAGACAAAGACTCAAATGGAAGTCACTCACTGGCACAAGGTATGTTCTCCGGTTATTGACTCTCATAACACAACTCGAGCATTCCACAGACCGACACCCTCACCCTCACCATGGACGAGACCGCCTACACTATAATTACGACGGGAGGGATGTTGTCTACGGCTTTGGAGATATTCACAGAATACATCGAGGCAGATTCCAGCAACTACGTCTGCTTCGGGCACCGTTCAATTCTTCATGCACGCATGGGTGATTGGGAGTCCGCGCTTAAAGACGCAATTCAGGTGAGTTATACCGACTAATACTGAACCCCCTTCAAGGTATACTAACTTGGATTGTGACATAGTCCATTAGCATTCAAAATTCGTTGATAGGCTATATGGCCAAGACCATTGCCCACTACGGATTGAGGCAGATTCGGGAAGCGAATATTGCATTTGATCTCGCGTTGAGGTTTGCGGCTGGAGATTCAGCAACCCATCATCTTCTTGTTTTGATCAGGGTGGGTCACATTTTTCTTACATGTTCGGTGCTTCATTACGATTTTCAGGCTATTGCAACGTTCAATACAAATGCATACGATGAAGCAATCATGTATGTTAATGACATGGCTGAGGTTTCTCTCGATGCCGATCTTCTTACTTGTCAAGTCGTGCAAGTGAGTATCAATTCCAGTTCGTGTTCTGAATCCGAGACTGATTGTTCTGCGCTCGGTGCATCAGATATACTTTTACGCCGAAATGGCACTCGCTGCCTTGAAGAGCAACAATCGCGAGAAAGCTATCGAGTACATCAATGCAGCTATCGAAATCTCTAACAGCTGTTCCCTTCACACAATGGACCTTTCTATCTACACGGAATTCGTCGTGGTACGTTGATACAATATACGACTCAACATGATATGTGTGCTCAACTGCGCTTTTTTGCAGATTTTTGGGTGGGACCTGAAGTCGTTGTGGCAGACCGTAAGGAAGTATAAATGTCTTATACTCGCCCAGACGGGTAACATCGAAGCACTCGAGTACTACGTCTCACTTATGGAAGATTCCGACAAAGCTCAGAAGGCCAGCTTACGTGCTTGGTTCGCCGGTGAGTATTTTCAGTCATGTTAATCATGCTACCGTCCTCAACTATCTTTCATTCAGAATTCAAGCATGCGGAGTGTATGTCTGCGGCCTTGAAGTAAGCGGCGCTGTCGCGTTGAAATACCGAGGTCTTTTATGCAGTTACCTATATGTTTATTGTGTCTCTTTGTACTTGTGTCGTGTATTGGTTTATAACATGAACGTTGATCGATGATTCTTCAACCATTAGGGTTAGTTGTTTATTGTGTCCCTTTGTACTTGCGTCGTGTAGTGGCTCATAACATGAACGCAGATCAAAGATTCTTCAGTGCTTACACACCATGAGTCCTTCCCCACCACCCACTGTGAATGTCCTTACATGTGCACATGACAATGATCATGTTTGCTCAGCGCGTGCTCCTCACCGTCGATTAGTCGAAGCCCAGCGTCTGATACTTGTTTTTATTTTTTATCTTATGTACATTGAGAGTGAGGCTTTATGTAGAACAATACTAACCAGTCTTGGAGCCCCATGCTCCGGTCTGATACTTTCGACAGAGATAACGCCTTTTAGTTGAACGGTAAATGTATAGCAACGAAGTATTCGGTGACTCGCATCTACGCAAAACTCCTACTACTCTCATGGAATCATTCAACATCTCCCGCACCCTAAAACATGTTGGTGTTGCACTCGTACAGTGTATACGTGCATGCTAATGTACTACATCATTAAATGACCATTTCCCATCCCTTATGCCACACCGTGGGCGCAAAGGCAAGTTGAGAAACAGCCCAAATCAGCGATTAGATCAGTAACTGAGCGTCTCCATAATCCCCTAACCGCATCCGGTATATTAAACTTCTCAAACTGCAGCCCAGCTGGGACACTAACAATGAACGTCATCAGAACCTGAGGAGGGGCAGAACAAAAAAAGGATATAAAAACGACACTCACTCCCATCCCGCAATTCTCCTCACAGGCGCGTCCAACCTCAAGAAAGCCCTCTTCCCAACCTCAGCAGCGATTTCTCCCCCGACGCCACCTGTCACATTCGCCTCATGTACGATCACGAGCCTCTTCGTCCTGCGCACGCTCTCTATGACTGTCTCTCTCCCATGGCAATATCGTTCGCAAATCGATGAGCTCGACGTTGGCGCTGCGAAAGGAGGGATGAGTGGTGCGAGTGAGGGTGGTGGGGAGTTGAGGAGACGGAGGGCGTATTGGCAGTGGTAGACGGGTGTGCCTCAGGTTAGGAGTGTCAGATCGGATCTTGGGAGGATTTCGGCGCGGGAGAGGGCGAGGGTGAAGTCGTCGATTGGGACTTGTTCAACTGTAGGTAGAATTAATACATGTATACAGGGAAGTGGGAAAGGGGGACGGACGTACCTGCAGAACGATAGAGGACTCTGGGCTCCATGAATATGACTGGGTTGGGATCGCGGATAGCTGAGAGGAGGAGGCCTTAGCATTGGATTGGGGAATTACGACCTGAGTTCCTTTAGAGTTTTCGTCGTCAAATCAGCAGTACAATGGGACAGGACATACCTTGAGACCAGATGCACCCATGAGGAACCCTTCAGGGCTCTGTGAATGGTATAGCTCGCCATGGCCCACGGCCATGGTCGGTGTACGCACTGTTAGCCCGCCAATAGAGAAGTGTCCACCTGAAGTTTGAACGGTAACGAAACCTTGCGGCTTCAGCTTCATTCACGAGTTAACTTACCGACGTTCATGAGTCGCCTTATTAAATAATCAAATAATAAATGCCGCTGGAAGTCATCCATTACAGTACTGTAATCATAGGTTAACAGTAATCGAGCATAATTTCATAGGCAATTCGCTGATATCTATGATGGTCATCTGAACCATCCGAGGCATCCAATTTAGGCAATTGCTCACTATAAATGCTATGTCCAACCCCCGTGCACTTGAAACAAGTCGAAGGGCTGGCAGGAACGACGGACTGGTGGGGGCACGCCTCACACCAGGGCATTTGTAGCTCCAGAGATGCGAAACGGGACACAAGGGGTCCCATAAGACTATGTCCTACATAGGGTATGTCTTTCAATGGGTAGAAACGGGTACAAAAAAAAAACAAAAGTAAAAAAACCACAGTCGACGTTGGGACCCAAGCGTATCCTCGGGAACACCTCCGGTCCTTTGGAAGACGACGGTCCGCTTTTTTTGATGT